GTGGATTTGTGTTCTTTATTGGCAATACTGTTTTTACATGGAGTTCTAAAAAGAAGGCTATTGTGACGCTATGTACTTGTGAGGCAAAATATGTTGCTGCATCATCATGTGTGTGTCATGCAGTTTGGTTGAGAAATTTGTTGAAGGCAATTGGAATTGTACAAGAAGATGCAACTATGGTCCATGTAGACAATAAGTCAACAATTGCTCTAGCAAAGAATCCAGTGTTCCATGATCGAAGTAAGCACATTGATACGAGATTTCACTTCATCAGAGAATGCATTTCAAGAAAACAGATTCAAGTTGATTATGTGAAGACTGAAGATCAAATTGCGGATATAACAAGTTGAGGAATTTACTTGGAGTTACGAGGAAGACATGTTTAAGGGGGGATGTTGAAAATTAAACATGTATTATTCTAGATTACATTCCTTGGTACATGATACATGTACATGAACTAGTACATTCATGTATTTAGATAAGTTAATTGTGTGTTCATGTATGTATAGATTCATAGGATGGAGTTTATGGATCTAGATTCTTCCATGGAGTCCTATAAATAGGATGATCTCTTGTTGTATTTCAAGCAAGTGTGTGGAGAAGAAAAACAAGAGAGTTTGTGAACCAAGTGCGCATTTTGTGAGAAATTTTTCAATACAAGTGAAGTTGTTTATTCTCAAACGAGTCTTGTTGATTATAAATTAGCAAGTGTCCATCACACGCTTCCAACATTCAAAGAGAATGAGACCATAGACCAATACAAAGCTAGATTAGTGGCTCAAGGGTACTCCCACGTAGAAGGAATCAACTATGAAGACACCTATAACCCTGTCATTAAGCCAACAACAATTAGATTAATTCTAACGATTATTGTAAATGCGAGCTGGACCTTGAGGCAACTAGATGTAAAGAATGCTTTCCTACATGGATTGCTTAAAGAGGAAGCCTACACGAAGCAACCTCCCGGTTTTGTTGAATCTAACTATCCTAATCAGTCTGCGAACTACAAAATCAATCTATGGATTGAAACAAGCACATGGTTTGACAGACTATCTAAATTTGTACTTCATATTGGATTTTATTGTTGTCGTTCTGATCCCTCTCTTTTTATATTTAAAAAAGATTCAACTCTATTAATTATGCTCATTTATGTAGATGATATTATTCTTACAAGAAATCACAACACAAGCAGAAATCAACTCATAACCAAACTAGGTGCTGAATTTGCACCCAAAGACCTTGGAGCTCTCCACTACTTCCTTGGCCTTGAAGTCCATCATAGTGCGACCTTATTTTCTCTCAAGAGAAGTATGCTAAAGACACCCTTGAAAAGACTGGAATGACGAATGCTACACCAATGAGTACTCTAATAGCGTACTTTGTGAGCTACAATTTAGTACACATATATTGGAATTAATTGTTAGGTTTCGTTTCTTTATGACATTATTTACGCACATAAGATATATTTTGCAGGAATGAATAACCGAAATAAAATTATACATAAATTGACCAAATTGAGAGAAAAATCATAGCCCGAGCGAATAGAAGACATTACAACACTTAATCAAGCCCGAAAATCCAATGAGACAGCACCATGGCACTGCCATAGAGTGTCGTGTCGCTCCGAAGTTTAAATTTTGCATTTTATGAATGTGGTGCCATGGGCCTGTGTATAGTATCATGGCGTTGCCGTGAAGACTTTCTATAAAAATAGGGTTTTGTAGTCGTCGATATAGAGGAGTTTGAGAGAGGTTGGAGAGCTTAGAAAAGAGATTTTAAAGGCTCGGGATCGTGGAGGTCGCTTCAGAACGAACGATTGACACGCCAAACTTAATTTCTTCTCATTTCCCTTGATTTTTCTAGTTTTATGATGGACTTCTCATTGTAATTTTATTGTTTTTACATTGAATATGAGAATTTAAACCTCTTATCTTAGGGATTGATGTAGCCATTCAACTTTATGGATTGATTGTTTAATTCTCTTAATTGAATGTTTATGAATGTTCTATTTATGTTTCTCTATGCTTAATGTTTTTAACCTACTGGCCATAGGTTGATTGATTTTAGACTTGAAATTCTATGCTGAGAGAAGTGGTTTAGAGTACCACCACTAGAAGATCGGGGAGGATGCACCACCACTAGAAGAAGCACTACAGGATTCTGCAACTTTATGGGACCAAATTCGATATCATGGTCCTAAAAGAAACAACCTACTGTAGCTCGATCTAGCTCATAAGCAGAATACCGTACAATGGCCTCTGCTACTACAGAAATCACATGACTGACATTTCTACTCAAAGATATTGGGATTCATCTTCATAAACCACTTAAATTATACTATTGTCAATAAATCCAGTATTCCACGCAAGAACCAAGCATATAGAAATGGACTATCACTTCGTTAGAGAAAAAGTATAGCTCTTGCACACTTAATTACCAAATATGTTCCCTCGAGACAACAAGTAGCTAGCATATATTCTCTCACTAAACCACTTGCAAAAGGTTACTTTTCGTGATCTTAGGTGCAAGCTTGGACTAAGCCCAACTTACTCTAACTTGAGGAAGGATATTAAACAAACTAAAGAGCTCTCTGACTAAGTACCCAAGGTAGTCACCACATTGAAAGAAATTAGCAATTGATTTCCCTTATCATCAATCCCGTATTTTGAATAATGTTCTCCTAATATTATGAGTCAAAGGAATCAGGAAATCATCATCAAATCTACTGTGATGTTCAATCAATCTCATCCTTGACAAAAGCTTTCTTACCTTATATAGAATGTACTGCCATATCAACTGCACAAGAAATTCCTTCGTTGTGTTAATTGCCAGCCAAACATCACAGCTCATTTTTGTACCGTTGGAAGTATATCACATCCCTTGTGATCTGCCTTTGAAGCCCTCTGCCATCCTAATGTGCATTCAAAATGGCCTACTATGGTCCGAAAAACAGTGAAGTTTTTCTATTCTTTATTCTGGCCATTTCTTTTATTGAGACCATCCTTTGGCGGGGCGACGTCGGCGAGCAGATACGAAACCAGATCCGCCCTTGCGATCTTCGGCACCAACCCAATCTCCGGTGACAACCACGACCCGCACGTCTCGGAACAGTGACCTTCATGAGTGGCAACCTCCATTGAAACCAAAGGTGGTTTAAAAAGTTTTTAAATAAAGAAGTTTTTTTTAAACCCAATTTTAAAAAATGGAAAACCTTTTTATAAAATTTACTCTTTTTTCTTTTTTTTTTTGTTTCTAATGAGTTTTGTTTTTATTTTAAAAAAGAATTTTATGCTACAGGGAGGGGATACAAAGAGTGGATTTAGAGAAAAAAATTTTAGAAGAAAGTTATTTTCGAATACAATCGTATCTTTTTAAAATTTTGAATTTACAAACCGGCATGTTTGAATAAAAAGAATTTTGGTTTATTTATTTATTATTATTTTTTTGTTGAAAAGTTTTTAAATGCACCCTGTTTCTTTTAAAATTAATAAAATAAATTTGACAAAAAAAATAAAAGATAAGTGTTTTCAAATAAATAAAATATTTTTAAATAAGCTTTTAAGTAATTATTGTATTAGTGGGTAGTTAATTCATAGGGAGTAGTGGTAAGTGGAGATGTAACTTGAGGAGTAATTTTTGCTTAGTGACTCAGTGAAATAATGGTGTCAATGGAAGAAAAGTTTAAAGAGAGTGGCTAATGGTTAGTTTTATTTTGTTCCTATAAATACTTGTAACATTTTCTTATTTCATGATCAAATCATTTCTTTGTAAACATGTTATATTTTGTCTCATTTTCTATCATTCACCTTCGTTTTTTCGTTACAAAGTTTAGTCCCTGAACTTTTAGGATAATGTCAAATAGATTAAATTTTAAAAGTGTCATTAAATTACTTGTTTTCAATTTCATATTTTAAGATTATCAACTAAACAAATCCTTAGTTTCTTATTTTTAACCATCTTCCTTCCCACCTCAATTAAAAAATAACAGCTATATATATATATATATATATTTTTTTTTTTTATTTTCTCTCTAAGAGATATCTACTCGTTGGCAAGTACCAAAGCTTGATCCAATTTTAATTAATAAAAAACTTCACTTCAACTGATTACAACTAATTCTTCATTCCTCACAAAATTTCGCAGGATCGAGTTGTACGAAAATTTTTCAGTAATTATTTTTAAAGAACTTTTAATTAATTGTTTAATTTTCTTAATAATAAAATTTAGGGAAAAATACATTTTTGGTCCCTGAAATTTGAGATAGGTGTCTATTTGGTCCATGAAGTTTCAAAAACACTTTTGGTCATTGAGGTTTGGTGTAGATGTCTATTTAGTCCTAAGTTTTAAAATGACATTTTTGGTCAAAATAATATATCCGGTCCGTTAGTGGCTTTTCATCCCTCTTCTCTTCCTCTCTCTTACCCTTTCTCTTTCTTTCCCATCTCGGACCAACAACCAACGACCATTTTTATCTTTACTTATCACTCGCGTGCCGTCGATAGCGAGCGGATTGCACCAAAAATGTTATTAGAAAAATTAAATTCCCTTGCACCAATAGTTTCATGTAATAATTTTTTCCTCATTTAAAAAAGAATTATCAATAACTCTCACGCTATGTATTGGACTTAAAAAAAACGGTGGGTGATTGTTGGTCAAAGATGGGATAGAGAGAGAAAAAGAGAGGAAGAGAGGAGGGAAGGAAAGTCACTAACGGTGAAACGAACAATTAGAAGTATTTTCCAAATTTAAGGATAAAAAATGTCTATTTTGAAACTTAGGAACTACTTAAGAGACTTTAGTTTTGAAACTTCAGACATCAAATAGACACATACCTCAAACTTAGAGTACCAAAAATGTATTTTTCTCTTCAGTTTAATTTACATGTTCTAATCTTTTTCTATATATATTGAGTGGCCGAGAAGTATGAACTTTTTTAATATATGTATATATAGTAATATAGGAAAGAATATACTTTTTAATATATATATGTGTGTATTATTACAGAGTCAACTAATATTATAACAAGGTCATCTAATACCAGGAAATAATAATCCATACATAATTAACCAGCTCATGTTGGTGAATGAATAATTTCTTAAAAAAAGATCTCACATTGCTTTAAAAGGTCAATCAACTGCCTCCATGTTCTCTTCTACTGTGGAAAAATATTTTTGAATTGAATCCATTGGGATTGCATAAGAAGCTGGACGTATTCTTTTCTCCAAGAAACGAAAATGGCTTCCATTCTTAGGGGAACCCTCGAGAAATCTCAGTGGGTTCTTCAAATCAATGAGATTATTGACAGAAATACCCTCGACGCCGCTTCACAGACCCCCATTTCCGTCTTCCAGTTGCCGGATTCCGTCCGCGACGGCGACCCAGAGGCGTACCTCCCCCGCCGTGTCGCGGTGGGGCCGTACCACCATTTCCGGCCGGAGCTCTTCAAAATGGACCTCTTCAAACTGGGCAAAGTCAAGAATCAGAAATGGGGCTCTCAGCTCCATCATCTCTTGGATCAGATCAAGCCATTGGACCTCAAAATCCGAGCCAGTTTCAATCAATCCCTTGAAATGGATGCGGAAACCTTATCATGGGTGTTGCTGATTGATGGTTTATTTCTGCTTGAACTTCTTCAAATTAGGTACAATCCTCGTCCCCTCGAGCTGCCTCTAGAGATTTTTTATGGGAAGTTAGCGCCTGAGTTTGAGATTGTTAGTGATGTTCTGAAGCTTGAGAATCAGATTCCTCTGTTTGTCCTCAAAGAAATTTGCCCCAAACAACCCACTAATTATTTGGCTCCTCTGTTTTGCCAAATTTCTTTATCTGTTACTCCATTTGAGCTCCCCTGGTTTGACCCTGAAACCGAATGTTATCATTTTTTCCCAATCTACAATCTGTGTCAACATTTGCTGCATTTTCTGTATTTGATGGTTTTGCTTACTCCAGAAAACAAGGTCGTGGAAAGTGTAATCGGTAGTTATACAGACATGAACATGAATGCTTCTCATTCAATTGCTTATTTTGCTGCTTCTTCTTCTCCTGCTGACTTCCTCAGTGAGTGCTTCAGCATTTTGGGCTCTGTTATTAACATAGCCTTCATTCAGCAACTGAAAGAGACCTTGAATTTGATTCTACGATTGTTTGCACTTCTGGGTTCTATAAGGAAGCCAAATTTGGGTGAGAAAAAAACCCCTCGAGTCCCTTCTGCATCAGAGTTGAAAACTGCTGGAGTGCGTTTCAAATCCCACAAAAACGGCGTTCTGAGGTGCCGTTTCGACCCCAAAACGCTCACTTTAACTCTGCCTTGTGTTCATCTTGATGGGTTCTGTGGAGTAGTGCTTAAAAATCTTGTGGCATATGAAGCCATGGCGGAGCTGAATCCGCCTTGTTTGGTCAATTACGTTGCGCTCATGAGTGGGTTGCTGAGAAATTCCAAAGACTTGAAGATTCTTGAGAAAGCAGAGATCGTTCGCAACCATTTGGGCAGTGAAAAGGAAGCTGTGGAGATGTTTAATGGCGTGGAGAAATCCAGCTGCAGCTTGAAGAAAGAGGGCGTGTTGAAAATCCATATTGGGAGTGGTGGAAGAGGAAATGAGTTCGTTCGAAAAGTGAAGATGAATTATGATATGGGATTGGGGGCGATGGTTGAGGAGATCAATAAATGGTATGGGAAGTGCTGGAGAATGAAGATGAAGAAATTTGTGTCTGTTGTTTTGAGTTGTTTGGCAATTCTTGCGGTTGTGTTCCTCATTGTTCTTGTGATTGCTCGATTCATCTGCAGTTTTAGTTTTGTTAGTTGTCCGAAGGGAATATTCAAAACCAGCATTGTTCTGCATCAGATGTATTGAACCTAAGAAAGATGATGGGAAGTAGTGTGGAATTATGGACGAGAATTTCCTTTATGGATATAAATTCTAATGGATGATGGCTTTGGGTTTTTGGGGTCTCTCTGGATTTTTGACATCGATGTGGATAGAAATGAAAACTTCGGGTGCACAAAGTGGCTGATCCTAAATTTCTAATAATCATTTGAAAGTAGATAAGAAGTATGAATGTTTGTAACTATTAGTTATAGATTTTTGAAACATGTCTTCGTAACGACTTCACTTTTTGGGACTTAAACTGCTTAGATACTACATCCCCGTTCGTAATCAAAGGAATCATTGGACAACTCAAGAGTTGTAAAACTAATATTCTTATTATGAACAATAATTTTTTTAATTAAAAGTTAATTTAATATATAAATTTATTAACTGTTAAATGATTCTAAATAATTAGAAAGATAAAATATATATAAAAAAAGTTAATAAATAAAAAAATTATAATAAATAATAAATAATCTATGCTGTGTAACTTGATTCTAAAACTAAAATGTTCACGTGCGTGATACACACTTCATGACGCAAAACTCATTTAGTTGAGAATAAATGACCATCATGCATTTAAAGCTCTTAAAAAAAATAATATATAATAAACTACACTTTCATAAAATAATTAAAAAAATTTACTTGGGATCCCATATAAAAATTACATAAATATAATAATTAAGTAAATAACTTTTAACAAACACTTAGAAAAAAGAAACGAAAAAAGACACGTGGAAGCAAAACTCATAACACAACCAGTAGATCCTCGTCACTCGTCTTTGTTTGCTATTTCCTAAAAAAGAATAAGAGGGAAGGAGCGAGTATTAAAATACTTAGTAAGTAACCCCAACTAACACCACAAGAATTTATGGATATCCCGACGATATTTTTGCTGACGCTAAAAAATATGTCGAGAAAAGCTCATTTGCCCGACAAAACATTTAATTTCGGAAAAAAATTAAAATTTCTCGACGTTATGTAAAAAATGTCGAGAAAAAATCAAATTTTCCCGACGTTATGTAAAAAATGTCGGGAAAAAATCAAGACAAAAAGTAATAAAATAAAAACGTCGGCAAAAGGTATACTTTTGTCGACGTTGTCATAAAAACGTCGGGAGCGTCCTATTCCGACGGACTTCTCCCCACGTTTTATCCCGACGCACTTTATTCGTCGGGATAAATTTTTTCCAACGTTTTGGAAAGTCGGTAGAACCCAATTTTCTTGCAAGTGTAACAAGGTCATACATGCATACACGTACAAAACATGTATCATAATAAGATAAACTTACAGGACCTAAATCTTTATGAGACAAAATCTAGAGCGGCAAGGTCTGTCACCTCGTACTCAGGCATTCCCTCAGTGAGGAGGCGATTGTGTTCGGTGAGAAGTTTAGGGGTGGTCTTGATCCAGCTCGGTTTGAAGGCGGACTCGCTAGACTTGAGGTTAAGCTCGAGGTATCGATCTCAAACACATGCTAGGACAAAGTTGGGACCCTCCCTTTCAACCTTATTCTCAAAGTTAACTTTAAGCAGGAGTCGAGAGACTGCATGACTCCTCCAAGAAACAAGGGTTTTCAAGCTGTGCTGTCTTGGCTCTCTAAAGGGACAATCGATCAAGCTTTGTAACTTGAGCCTTTAAGCTACTGGAAGCCTCTGCGACCTGAGCCTCCACCTCCCCCTTGGCCCTCAGAGCCTCTGATTTCTCTTGTTTACCAGGGTAAAAAGAGGTTCAATTATGTATTTCAGCTTTGTTTTACTTAGAAATAGTAGTTCAAAAGCTTAGTTTCTTGTCTAATTCATGTATATTGCTTGATCATAGTCTAAGCATGCATATATTGGGTTTTGGTAACAATCAGAGTTGGAAACTTAACGAAAATTACATTTTTGTGCAAAAAATTAAAGCTAGGCGCCATACGCCCCTTACTCTTTATCTGAAACTGCCTTTAATGAAACACACGTTTCAACTTGTTTTGATTAGTTCCCATCTGCTCTACGTGTCATCCGTGCATGGGAGGATACTTCAAAGTAAGATAGTCATTGTACAGTGATATCTTAGTGAGATCTCCATTGTAATATTCCTAATTATATTCGAATCTATTTTTTTCAGAAGACTGAACGTAGTCCCAAGATTGTGACGAACCACTATAATCTTTGTGGTTTTAAGCTTTTTCTATCAATATCTCTTAATCTTTTATTATTTTTATTTATATGCTTTTAACTTGGGGAGGGGAAAATCAAATAGTTTCTTTTTAAATAACATACGAGAATATCGATTGATCTATATTTCTTTAACAAGTAAAGAGTAGAAACCTGCTCAAAGCACAAATGAACATCCAACCAATCAAAATAATAGTAATGAACATTATGTTGGCCTAAAATTTTCACCGAATGTGGAAGATATATATGATGGAACTCTTAGACATGCACAGCGGAAGCTAAGGATCATAATACACTTAATGAAGCAATTTAACTAAAATAAGCATGCTTGGAAAAATGATGAAAAAGGTAAAGAGAAAAAGATTAACTTTATACCTTTGAAGACCTCCATTATAACTTCTTCTCCTAACTCAATGGAACCACCAACGACAAATCCGTGCTATCCTCGGGTTGATGAACACAGTTGTGGGACTGCATTTTGAGTGAAAACAAAGGAAAAACACTAATGGCTAGGAGAAGACAATAGAAATTTGAGTGGAAAAATTCTGCACTTATGCAAGTAAGCATTAGCCTTATCCAAGTGATCTTCATCATCTATATAAAGACCAAATGCATGCAAAGACATGCATTGCATGCCTTCCACTTCAAACTCCACTAGCATGTAAAAGATAGGTGTCATTGCCTTGAAGAAACACTTCAAAAACCACTAGTTAGTGGGAAAATCCAACTTTGATAAAACTAATTTTTATAAAAACAAAAATTGAAATATCAATTTTCTATTAAAACAAAAACCAAGCCAAATCAATATCTCATATTAATTGGTCTTTGACACCTAAGCTTGATTAATCACACTAATCAAATTACAACTCTTTTTCATGCTTTGAACTTATTTAAAACTAATTTAAATAAGTCATACTCTCCACAATAATTAAATGTCAATTAGATTATATATTATATTTCATATAAAATACAATATTCCCTTAAAAACCGAATTTGAACACTTCAAATTCTTGCTTCACTTAGTTCATCAATTTTATCCTTTATGAGCTAGCATGGAGACCCGTTGGACCTACAGATCATGGGCTCCAACGATTCGAGACTAACCGGTCAAACTCTTTAACTTAGTTAATCAACATTCGTTAACTAACAGGACTGTCCACTATAGCCTGTAGATGCACTCCTCTCACTGTAGATATATTTGTGTCCATTCGATATAACCGTCATCGGTAAGTTGATCCTTCAGAGGCCGTTCGTAACCTCAGTTAGGTAAAAAAAATCGTTTTACCCCTGAGTTACATATTTTCTCCTTAAGTACCATTATCCCTCTAATGAACAATTGATTTAGGATCAAATCACTAAATCCAATTCCTCTCGGGCCAGTGAGAGGATGGGACCCCTTGTTCAAGACCCGGGATCAGCCCTTAAGGGAACAACCTCTCTACTAGCCCTAAATCGGGTAGGAGTGAATTCCGTCTTGCTAATTCTATGTCCCCAGCTATCTACCCAGTCTTATTCTTGAAATGGGAGGCATATTGAGCAGCGCTGATGAGCTTACTCTCACCTATGATCAAGGGAGAATCCTGAATAAATAGGAGTTCATAGATGGCTCAGGATTTAGATCAAGTTATTTAGGTCATCGATAAACGAAATTAATCAGTGTTATCCGTAAACGGTGTTAATACGTAACAGTGATTATTTCAGGGTCAGTCTTACTCAATCTCATTGTGTAGAACACTCCCGCTCACATGTTTCTACACGAATGAATCAGGATCACTTCGTTTATGACACCTTACAACATTTGTAACAATCATAAAGTGGGCCGTATTCAATAGTGTCTCCACGAAAAAGTACCCAACTTCATCCATGTACTATAGACTGTTTAGGCCATTTACTTGAACTTGATCCAGTTTATGTCTCCACATAAAGTCCAAGTATTCATTATAATAGCCAAAGGTTCGTAGTTTATTGGATTTATTAAAAAACAAATTCACTTTCATTTAACAACATTTGTCTGAATAACCTCACATTAATGTTCACTGTTTACAAACTACGAGTTTTAGGACAGAGTACCCAACAATATACCAAATGGAATTCACCAACCAACAACAATACGTGGGGCAACCATTCAATACCATACATACTACATGATATCTAGAAGAGAGCCTCAGCTAAGCTCCGTGATTTTATCAAGAAACACCACAATCATTGTCAGAACCAATTTTTTTTTAGTACAACATGTGAGGGTAGGGGATCGAACTCACAACCTCCTAGAAGTATATGTCAACCACCGTTGAACTATGTTTGCTTTGACAACCAAAATTGAAATTATACAAAATGACACTTAATATCTATGAGGACTGCCCTGGAGGAAGAAATGAAGGCCTACACACATAGGATCTTTCCTAATCCATCCCACACACAAACATCATTGAATCAAAATGTATATTCAAGGTCAAACTAAACGAAGCGGGTCAATCGATTACTACAAAACACGTTGACTTAGACTACAATGAGACATTTAGTCCGGTTGTAAAGCCAACCACAGTAGGAATCATTCTAGTACTTGGAGTAACAAGCAGATAGAAACCAAGACAACTCCAAGCTTTTGAAAAATGTGTACTAAATCTATCCCCAATTTCCTCCACCCATTTCGTTCCAAATTTCTGAAACTTTACCGTAAAATCCGTCCCAATTTAAAACAAGTCTACAATATAGTTTACTTTAGATCACGAGTTATTAACATTATTTATATATTAAATTTATAATTTAACCTTTTTATTTATATTAATAGTTTTCTTTGCAACGACCGTACCTTAGCAATTATCTCATCTAGTTGGCGCCTCTCCCGGATAACACAAGTCTATCTCTCGGTGGAACCTCAATTTAAAAGTATCAAATATTTTGTATAAACAAACATTTAAATGTCAAATTTTCTATCTCCAATTGGCAATTATATATCCCTTGATATAAAGTTGTTATTTTGTCCTCTTCTATTACCTTATTATTTAACTATTTTTTTTAAACAATTGTTAATTAACTACGTCCCTTTCCACTACCTAAAAGCCACATACGGTGGATCCAACCTTCAAATGTATACTCTTTTCAAAATAAATAGGTATCATCCTAATCCCATTAAAAATTTGATGCTTAGTTTAGAGTCTCTAACCAAGAGAGATCGTGAACTGTCAAAACGAGTTTAGTTCAACGATAATTGAAATATATCTTCAATCAAGAAGTTGTAAGTTCGATCTTCCAACCTTATGTGTTGTACTTAAAAAAGAGATCATGAATTAAAAAAAGGTATATTGTTTTTATGAATGCTAACGAATGAGCTTTTGAGCTCTAGAAGATAAAGACTATTAAACTGAACTTTTGGACGTCAAAGGGAAAGCTTTCACAGCACAAACATGGCCGGAACCTCGCGGCCGACAGACTGGATTCTACATATCGAGGAACTTCTCCGGCGAGACGACCTCGAAGCGGCCTTAGAAACTCCGACTTCCATCTTCAAGCTGCCGGAGTCGAAAACGAAGGATAACCCACAAGCTTATTCCCCATGCCGTGTGTTTTTAGGGCCATATCAGGAGATGAGGCCAGAGCTTCACAAGATGGAGATCTTGAAGCTGGAGAATGCAAAAAAGGCGAAGCAGAAATTTGAGCTTCCAGAGTTCACTGAAATGGTGGAACAACTCAAAGAATTAGACGTCCAAATCAGAGCCTGTTATGGCCAAAACTTGCCAATGGGCTCCCAAGCCCTGGCTTGGCGAATCCTAATCGATGGCTTGTTCTTCCTTCGGCTATTGGGCATCTATCCTAATGATAATCAAGATAAAGGTAAGCAATGGCAGTGCCTGTAATGATTTCTTCCTCATCTTTTGCCTTTTTGTTTTTTTCTCCTTCATTTTTTGTTGGGTGAAGCATATTTTATTTTAAATATTTAAAATTATGGTAATGATAACAAATGACACCATTTTATTTTGATTTTCTGTTTTTAATAATTAAACTTCTTCGTACAATTTCATCGGATAGTTTTGCACCTCAAAATTAAACCAATCTTTTTAAGCAAAAAGTCAACATAACTTAGCGGTAATTTTTGATATATATCTTAGTTGGAGAGTTCGTCCCCTACTCCTACACGTTGTATAAAATAAATATTTTTAAGATTAATTTTTCTAAAAATAGTATTTTAGATTTTGAAAATATTTTTAAAAACTATGAAATAAAGGAAGACGTGTGAAAGTAATATTTCTCAACTTAATTTTAAAAAATGAAAAACCAAAAACAAAATGGTTGTTAAGGAGCTTAATTTGTAGATTATATTTATTAGTTTTATATTTTTTTTTCAATTTATTTCTTAAATTTGATAATTTTTTCTTTATATTAAACATGGATGGAATTTGATACGATATTTTTGAAATGTCCAAGAAACTACTTATATAATTATGAAGAAAACAAAACAAATTTTGATTAAAAAAAACTCTACTAAATATAATTATTCAAGTTTCAAACTATATTTCACTTGTTTTGTTTCTGAAATCTATGTGTTATAATTGTTTTTAGGCAAACTAATATCAAACTATTAAAATCATAATTTTTACTCAAAAGTTCAATGCCAAACATAGTGGGTTGGTGTATTCTCAAGAAAAAAAAACATAGTGGGTTGGTAGAATTTGGTATAATATAATTGACATTACTTAATCTAAGTAGGAAATTTTTAATTTGGTCATTGATTTATTAAAATTCTCAATTTTAACATTGATACACTTGTAATTCCTCCATTAAAATATCTATTAAAATCTGTTAAAAGAAAATTAATGTATAATTAAATTATTGTTTTATTAACATATTTAAATAAAGGGAGCATATGCAATTTGGACAATATAGTACTGGTTTTGTTGATGAACAAGTTGGATTTTAATTTAGGACGAGTTGGTTTCATGTGTTAAACTAGCATTCTAGTGACATGTTCACGTATTTAAATATGTTAGTCTAAATTTTTATATACCAAAAAGCATATATTTCACATAATTTCATTGAATTTGAGCTCCCTCTAACGTGGACGATCCACCCGCGAAGGCAAAGTCTACGACTCCGATCGTTTCGAGTTCGAATTGCCTGTTTTCAATGAGCAACGATTGTATCTAAACTCCGAGGAAAACATAACGACGACCCAAAACGAGATCGCGAAGGATTTACTAAAGCTGGAGAATCAAATTCCAATCCAAGCCCTGAAAATGGTGTTACCCAAAAATTTGTTTAAAGAAAATTTACCTCTCTTGTTCTACAAATTTTGTGCATCAGTCTCGCCCTTGTCTTTGCCTCCCTTGGACAATCCCAACTTTTTAGCATCTCATAACGGTTGGTTCCCCAATTTGTGTGGAATTCTCGACCAATCCCAACATTTGCTTCACTTTTTATACACTTTATTTCTCTACAAACGATATTTGGCCTTTCAACAACCCCTTCAGCAACGGTCGGATCTCTTCTCGTTGAGTTGCTGAATGCAATGGCCAAAGTTATACGAGTGGGGTTCTTACAGAACTTGGTTGAAGCTGTGGGGTTGATCCAAACATTAGTTGGTTTGGCTCTAAAAGTTCATCAATCATCGTCATTCGCCGCTGACGATTCCCCCGAATTCCCTTCCGCTTCCAAGCTCGTAAAAGTCGGTGTGAAATTCGACAAGGGCGAAAACTACTGCGGATTTGACGAGGATTCCACCACCTTGAAACTACCTGTCATAACGGTTAACGACTTTTGTGAAGTGATTTTCAAGAATCTGGTGGCGTTTGAGGTGGAGGCCAAGCTGAAGCCGGCTAGCTTTTCGCATTACGTGATGCTGATGAGTGGGCTTGTTTGGGGAAGAGAATACCCTGGACACGTGGAGGACCCCTATTGGTGCTCCAAGATGACTCATGAGTCATGCCTAGCTCGGA